GGTTCAGCATTCTGCATAAAGGGGCTGATGCATAGATCCAAGGAGTCCAAAAAACGAAAGATAAGTTTGAAAGGCATTGGGAGTCAGAGGGTCTTCAGCTAAAGGAACTATAAGACTTCCTCCTTGTCTAGGATCCCTTGCTTTTATTAACACAATTTGTCCTAAGGCAAGGTAGAGACATACACTCCAAAGGGTAAGGTTTAAAAAGGTAGAATTTACAGAAGCATTGTCAGTTTGGGGAATAGCCTACAGCTGTTCAGGTGTTTGGCCAACAGGAGGCAATAAAATGCCCCGAGCTGTCTGGCAGCAAACTATTATCCTATTCAGGTTTGGGGGAAGTGCCATTTACCATTCCAACAGGTAAACTACATATGTGGCTCACCCTTGTTGATCCACCCAAGCTTCACCAACCTTTTGATGAAATTCTTGTAATTATTTTTTTTAAAATATATTTTATTGATTTTGTACAGAGAGGAAGGGAGAGAGATACAGAGTTAGAAACATCAATGAGAGAGAATCATTGATCAGCTGTCTCTTGCACACTCCCTACTGGGATGTGCCCGCAACCAAGGTACGTGCCCTTGACCGGAATTGAACCCGGGACCCTTCAATCCGAAGGCTGACGCTCTATCCACTGAGCCAAACCGGTTTTGTCAAATTCTTGTAATTATTACATGCTGCAATTGGTTCCTGGCAATCAGGAACTAACCTAAGTGCTTTGCATAGATGGTATCATTTCAATCTAAATATCTCATGATTTAGCTAATATTGCTATTTCCAGGAAATGGAGGCATGGGATGTTAAAATACTAGTATCTTTCTCAATGTGATGCAACTAGTGTGGGAGAAAGTGACAGAGAAAGGGGTGGGGGGAAAGCCAAAAGTAAAACTAGAGCTGCTCTGCAAGACCTCAGCAGGAAAAACTTGTAGATAATTTATTGTGTTGCAATTAATACAATTCTGCCTCAATTCCTTCCATCTCCAAGTCTCTTCATTCCCAGCTTCAAATCCCAAGAGAGTGTATCTAATATACCCAGCTCTGGCCTGCTCCTGTTAAATTACTGAGCTATGATTAGGGAGCATAATACTGTCATACACATATGGTCAACCTTGTCAATGAGAGGCACGGCCTAGACATGCTGTAGTGGCTGTAAGTGGTATCTACTTTTTGACCTAATAATGTAAGAAGCAATCACAGGTTTTCTGCAGCTGATACATGGTCCCAAAATAAGAATTACATTCGTCAAGAAAAATATATAGTCTTTAGTTTTATTATTTTTTTAGTTTCTTTGGAGTGTGTATCTATAATAACAGAGCTGGGGACCACATATAATTTCATTTTCCTTAATATGAAAAGCTCACTGAACTCAGTTTACCCTGAAATTATACTCTTTTTTTAATCCTCACCTGAGGATATGTTTTCACTGATTTTTACAGAGAGGGAGGAAGGGTTGGGAAAAGTGGGGGAGGAAGAAAGGGAGAGAGAAATTGAGAGAGAAACATTGTTTGGTTGCCTCTCACTCATGCTTCAACCAGGTATTGAATCTGCAACCTGGGTGTGTGCCCTGACTGAGAATAGAACCCGTAACTTTTTGGTACATGGGACTACACTCCAACCAACAGAGCCACCTGCTGAAATGATGCACTCCTATTTCTTCTATTTCTGACAGCACGGCCTATCTTGGCTATCTGAATGAACCACCTACTGAAAACAACAAAAAATGCTGGATTAAGAAGAATCAAACACATTGGTGAACTTGTAGGAAGTGAAGGAATTCCTAAAGGGGTAAAAAAAAAGAAAGGAATAAAAAAGAGAATACTCTGAGAAAGAAGTGAGGGCCAACGTGGACTTTTGCTATGAGATTATCTGTTAAATTCCGTACACCTAGGTCTTCTACTTTGATAGCTGTGCAGTTGTGAGGGTCAGGAAATAAAGCCGACAGCCCATCTAAAAGGAGAAAGTTAATAGGAGATAAAAATCTGAGGTCCCAAAGGGCTACATTCCCAATGTAAAGGTGAATCAGAAAAAAACAAAACAAAAAAAACCCTGATGTACAGGTCAGTAAGGAAACAGGTCTGTCTTGACCTTGGAATCCAGGAAGAAAGAAAAACTTTCCCTTCAGTGTGTATAAGAAGCTACTTGGGCCGAAACCGATTTGGCTCAGTGGTAGAGCGTCGGTCTGCGGACTGAAAGGTCCCAGGTTCGATTCCGGTCAAGGGCATGTACCTTGGTTGCAGACACATTCCCGGTTGAGAGGTGTACAGGAGGCAGCTGGTCGATGTTTCTCATTGACGTTTCTAGCTCTCTATCTCTCTCTCTTCCTCTCTGTAAAAAATCAATAAAAAATATATTAAAAAAAAGAAGCAGCAGCTACTTGGCATAAGGACCAAATTCAATTTACCTGTGAAATTCAATAAATCTTAAATGAAACATTTAATTTAGATCTAGGATTTTTGTTGCCTCCAAGCAATTTGCAGTGGCAAATTCTAATACTCTCTAGGAAAATTAAGTTTTCATTCAGGTCCCAATGAATCCCTATAATTAAAATCCCAGAAACATGAGTGCAGAGACCATATCACAAGCCACAAGGAAACAGGCACCATGAGCAAAAGCTGGAAGAAACAACAGATAGAACAAAATGCCCATGCAATTTTCAGTACTAAATTTAACAGACACAATGTAGACTATGTTTAATTTGTATAAGAAATTAGAACATGGCTTGAAAAGAAAACCAAACAGAATTTCTAAAAATACAAGGTATATGAAAATTTGGAGGTGGACCATGTAAAATAGATGTTTCTCTCTCACACTGATCTTTCTCCTCCTTTCTCTCTCTCAAAAAAAAAAAAAAAAAAAAAAAAAAAATTAAATAAATAAATAAAACACAGCCCCCTATGAATATTTTTTTAGAAAGATAAATGTAATGAGAGATTTGTCTTAGAGGTGATGAGATAATGAAGAAAATGGGAAATAAGCAATACTGAAGATATATATATATATATACATACAATTCTTATACAAAAGTTGAGAATTTCCTAGAATTGTTGCAGTACGCTAATCCTGAGATTCAGGAATCCTGTGAAATCCTATATATAAAGGCCTAAGCAACTGGCAGACCAGCTGACCAGCCAGTAGCTATGATGCATACTGATGACCAGGGGGCAGACACTCAACATAGGAGCTGCTGAGCAACAGCAAATTTGCAGACTGCAGAGTCCCTCTTGCATTCTGGGACCCCTCAAGGGATGTTGGGCTGTCAGTTTTGGCCCGTTTTGGCCTGATTCCGGCAGGCCAGGCAGAGGCACCCCACCTGCCAGAGGGACCCCGCTCACTCCACAGATGCCCTTTGAGTCCCAGGGCCACCCCAGGTGCAGCCAGGGGAGGGACTGCAGGAGGTTGGCTCCAGAATGTGTCCTGCCCGGCTGGCCACCTCCTAATTAATTTCACTTGAATGTGCATGGATCCATGCACCGGGCCTTTATTATACTGATAAGGAAATAGGGAGGGAGAAAGAAAAGAAAGAAAAGCAGGGAAAGAAGAAAAGGAGGGAGGAAAGAAAGGGGAGGTGTGGGGAGGGAAAGGGAGAAGAGGAAAGGGGAGAGGAAGGAAAGATAAATGGAAGGAAGGAAGGAATTATACCTAGATTCATTGCTTTGAAACTGGGATAATATCAGAGATCTTAAAAGCAGCCAGAAGAAGGAAGGGGAGGGTGGGAGGAAGACTGAAGACATTAGATTTTAAATATAAGTACAAAAAAAAAATAAATCAGGTAATTGTTATTAGGATTGAGGTAAATTTCCTTTGGGGTTCATGAATATGACAGCCACGTAAGTATCCCGATTAAGAGCGGTGAAAAAGTCTTTAGTACAAAAAAAAAAAAAAAAAAAAAAAAAAAAAAAAAAATGTCAAGGAGGGGGAACCCGGAAACATGAAGAGAGGTAAGACAGGTAGAAATAACAGCCAACCTTGACTGAGTGCAAAAGATTTTAAGAGAAAAACTGATCCGTGAAAGGCTATCACGGATGAACATTTGAGAAGTGGTGTCAAAAGATACAAAAAGTCAACGCGCAGGAGAACAGACGTCTAATACAGGCTATTTACTCAACATGATCTAACATTATTCCTAGCGCAGACCATTAGACATGAAGTCTCCATCCGTTATTTCTGCTTCCTATTTATTTTTATTATTTTTTTTTTTCGGGTGCAGGTTGTACATATAGATCGATTTCTTTAGAATGACGACGAGACGGACTTGCAAAATAGAATATATGAGAAACTATTGAGAACTATGTGTGCATCCTTTAATAGGGGAAATTTTCACTCCGAACTTAAAAAACTCTTGTAGCGACATGGAAGCCAATCAGCCGTCCTGTGTACTCGTTGGGGAGTGGATACTGAGGCTAAATTCCAGCAGCAGCGAGTTCTGTTTTTATTAGAGTCCAAACTGTCTGAACTTTGCTGGGTATTCTAGCGTTAGAACCTTTGCTGTTTTCCTCGAAACCCGTGACTCACAAACCGCGGGGCAAGCGATCCCAGCGGCAGGCACGCACAGGTGGAAAGTTGTTCCTCGCCGCAGACACCTCCCGTCCAACCCCGGGCAAAAAAATCAACAAATAAACACGGCCACCGCATTTTGGATTCTGTTGCGCAGCCTTCGCCGCGGCGCCTGGTATTTGTAGTTTCCGTGTGAAAAGTTGGCTGGCGGGTTAAACCTGCGGCAAAGAGAAGAGAACTACAGTTCCCACAATGGCGCGCGCCCGGGCACGGCCGGCCTACGTCACTGCCCTGCCAGCCAATGAGAGCCCCGGGCGGCAGTGAGGCAAGCGCCGTCAGGCGCCAAAGTGGTTTTTTTTTTTCCCCTTTTCTTTTTTTTTTCCCCACCGAAGCTGAGCGGGCGCTGCTAGCGGAGGCGCCATATTGGAAGGGACAAAACTCCGGCGACAGCGAGTGACACAAATAAACCCCTGGATCCCCTCGTCCCCCAGGCGCTCCAGGCCGCGATGTTGTACCTAGAGGACTATCTAGAAAGTGAGTGGGCGGCGCCGGCCGGGGCCGCCTGTGGGGCCGGCGGGCGGGCGAGAGCGCGAGTGGCCGGGCCGGCGGGATGGCGGGGAGGGAGGGGGAGGCGGGGGATGTTTCTTTCTCACGGTAACTGGCAGCCTCGCTCAGGGTTGCCGGCTCCCTCGACCCCCACCCCACCGACGCACGCACGCACGCACGCACGCAGACACGCACGCGGTGACGTAGGCACGCAGACCGCCGTTGGCCCCGCCCCTCTGACGGACTCTTCCTTTGACAGTGATTGAGCAGCTTCCGATGGATCTGCGGGACCGCTTCACGGAGATGCGCGAGATGGACCTGCAGGTGCAGAGTAAGTGGGCGCGTTTGCTCTCGTGTGCGGCGCAGGTTCGGTGCCCAGGCTCGCTCGTTGCCGGCCCCAGCGCCTCTGCCGTGTGACCCTCTGGCTGATGAGTACCTGGGAATTATTGTGCAAGAGAATTCAGTGCCAAAGCTTGCTCACTCTGCTGTTGTCCTAGCGTGGATAAGAGGAGAGAGGAGAACACGCCTGTGGTCCTGTCTCGGAGGTCGGACTGTGCAATCAGCGTGTCTGTGCCATCACGGAGACTGTAGGGGATTGAAGGCACAGCGGCATAGATGTTAACATTCTGACTTTGAGCCTTGATGTATTGAACATACACTTTAGCATTAATACTTTCGTTGAAGTTTATCGTTTAAATTTTTTTTTTTTCCAAGAGCAGAAACCAAATAGAAGTATGGGTTTCTATGCAGTTTTTTTTTTTTTTTTTTTTCTTAGAGACCCGTGGAATGTCACATTTGAAAAGTTACGCATTCTAGAATGTATTCTCAGTTTGTCAACAGCGTGGTGTTAATCAGAATGAGTGAGGGAAATAAGATTTTACTGTAAAGCTTCTTGTATGCCATAATAAAATTTTTGGCTCCTCTTCTTATATCAGTGATAGTTGGTAATTCTGTGACTTTTTCCCAAAATTAACCTTACTCTTTTATAGGGCAGTATTTAGTTTATTTGATTTTTTTTTTTTTTTTCTGTGAAGTTTCTTAAAATGGTTCAGGATTCAGAGAAGGTCAAGAATCAGTGCTTCTGGAGATAAGAAGGCCAATACATTGAGCAAAATTACACTTAAAACATGGAAAAATCGGGGCCAGTGTGACTCAGTGGGTGAATATTAACCTATGAATGGTTCTATTCCTGGTCAGGGCACATGCAGGGGTTGTGGGCTCGATCTGGTGGTGGGTATGCAGGAGGCAAGCTGTCCGTGATTCTCTTTCATTGATGTTCTCTCTCTCACCCGCTCCCTTCCTCTCTCTAAATTCAATAAAAACATATTTAAAAAACAACAAGGAAACAGTGATGAGTACCAAATTCATGTTAATCATGTTTTTAAAGAACCTCACAGTCCTTTGTGAAGTGAATACAATATCTTGCATAGATGCTATATTAAAAATTAAGAATGTGGAATTATATGGAACATAATGAAAGTGAATAATCAAGTGTACCTTTGGCCTTTGTCACTCCCTTTGTTGGGAGAAATGAAGATATTCTACTTAAATTCTTTAAATGATATGAGTGGCTGGCCTTTTGGGAGTATATCTGCAGAAAATGGGTTTTTGATCCCATTTATTCCAGCCGTGTTTAAGCTATCCATGAAATGTTTCTCATGCTGGCAGGTTTTCTTAGAAAAGTGGGGGTGGAGGACGATCTTGGGGTGTTGGGGTCTGATAGGGAGGAAGGAGGTACCATGAAAAGAGATCAGAGAGCCAGACATCCCAGCATGTGGGAGTGTAGAGAAAGCTAAGAACCTGTTCTGTTCTTCCCCTGCTTTTCTGCCCACCAGCACCACACATTTCCTACCCATTGTTCAGAAATACACCTTCTCAGCTTAATGTCAGTTACCCGTGGCACTTACTGGGAGGCAATATGATGTGGAAGGTGCCTTCTTTTATTCAGTATATTCTGTTGTCGAAGTCTGAATTGTGTGTTTCACTAGCTTGCTCACAGAGTTCATTGTAACTTTAATGTAGTTGAAACGCTAAAAACTTGCTAAAGTAGCAGTTATCGATAGGTTTGAGCACAGATTTTGAAGTTCATTCAGATCTGAGTTTATTTTTGGGCTTTACTGACTTCTCTCTCTCTTTTTTTTTTTTTTTTTAAATATATTTTATTGATTTTTTACAGAGAGGAAGAGAGAGAGATAGAGTTAGAAACATCGATGAGAGAGAGTCATCCATCAGCTGCCTCTTGCACACCCCCTACTGGGGATGTGCCCACAACCAAGGTACATGCCCTTGACCAGAATCGAACTCGGGACCCTTCATTTACTGACTTCTCATTGACCTTGGCCTCATTACCACTTCTGAGGGTTTTTCATCCACAAAATGAGAATCATCTCGGAATTAAAAATAATACAGATAGCCCTAGCCAGTTTTGCTCAGTGGTTAGAGCCTCAGCCTGTGGACTGAAAGGTCCCGGGTTCAATTCCAGTCAAGGGCATAGGCCTGGGTTGCAGGCTCGACTTCCAGTAGGGGGCATACAGGAGGCAGAGCTAGTCAATGATTCTCTCTCATCATTGATGTTTCTATCTCTCCCTTTCTCTCTGAAATCAATAAAAATGTATTAAAAAAATAAAATAATACAAATAAATTAGAACATACAGTGCCTGATAGAAAGTAGGCACTCAATAAGGAGTAAATTACTTTATGCTTTTTTATTATTTATTACAAATTTTAAATTCTCTTGCAATTTGGACTTAGATTATATAAATTAGAGGTTTTTAAACTTACATTTTTTATAATAGAATTTTCTAAAGTTGATAGGTATGGATTAACAAAAGAGACTTCGTTAGCAAATAAGCTTGGAAATGCTTATTTAAACAAAGGAAAATTCTCTTAAAAATTAACTGTAAGATCTCAGAATCTTTAAATAGCTATTATTTCACAGAAAATCTCCAAAAGAAGGATATAGTAAAAATGTTTTCCTTAATTTATGTGGCAACAGAATCCCTTTTATTTATTTTTCTTTTAGCAGTCTGGAATGACTATTCTTGGCACACATTTATAAAAAAATGTATCTAGGATAAATAATATACTATATTAAGTGAATAAATGATTATACCTACTGCTTTTAATCATAGATAGGAGATGATCACGTGTTTAAGGCCATATAGCAAGAGGTTAAAATTGTTTTTATCATGTTTGCTTATTAAAAGAATATGTCAATTTCCTAGTGGTACTTAGGATAAGACATCATATTTTGACACATTTGGCTGATTTAATATCATTACCTTTTGACCCAAGACTGTACTATTCAGAAACTACAGTATAGAGCTATCTATATTGTTGACTACATTGACTATTGGAAAAAGCTTTGAAATAACATCAACAAAAATTGATAGTAGGGAAAATTGTAACTTTGTTTTTTACTAAGGTAATTACTAAGGCATTCTGTATTTACAAATTAAAGCTGCCATATTTAAAGTTAGTGACCAAGTAAAGGAGTGTACTTTGTCAGATATTTCTTTCGTTCCCCAAGTCAAAGCATGTACATTCAGTATATGAACTTGATCGTCTAAAATATGAAATGTTTTTGTTATGTCATAGATGCAATGGATCAACTAGAGCAAAGAGTCAGTGAATTCTTTATGAATGCAAAGAAAAATAAACCAGAGTGGAGAGAAGAACAAATGGCATCCATCAAAAAAGTATGTTCAACATTCTGAGTGATTTGTCAGTTAAAATTGGGACTCTGAGAAAGATATTTTAAAAATAAATAGTTTTCTGGATATCAAAATGAAGGAAAGTTACCAATGGCTTCTTAGAATTTAAATAATTTGTTGTGTTTTAGAGCTTCATTGAAGCATTTTGTTATTGATTTAAAAGTTATTTCAGTAATTAGTGACTTTTATTAGAGAGTTAAGAGCCATAAAAAAGTACACTTTTAATTAGCAGGACTTGAAGCATATTTTTTATATTATTAGGTACCCAAGTTGGTGTTATCACAGAACAGAAACTTAAGATCTGGGAAGGATTCTTTAAAAGCATTTTAGTTTAAAACTAAATTCATACATGAACTAGGCCTAAAAGTAAAGATTTCTTTGAGTTTTTAATTAGTTGTATAGTATTTATAGCTGTCTTTAAGATTAGAATGGCTATCAGCTCTCCCTACAAGGTTGGCTTTAAGGATATGGTTTAGTTTGTTTGGGATTTATTGAAAGAGCTACTTCAGACACCTGGCTTTGGTGATGACTGCCATTTAGCTCTGTGACATGGGACAGGTCCTTTAATGTCTTTGAGTAATAATGACGCCCCCAAATCCAGCATCTATAGAATTGTTCAAGGATCAGCTACTAAATTTGAAAACTACAATTTTAGAGTAGTGGTGTCATTTATTTTACCACATGGGGGGAAGATTATTTCTGTTAGGAGAAAAATAATTTAGAATTTATGACAAAATTGGTCCTAGTTTAGAGGATACGTGGAGGCTTACGGGTGTTTGAATATAGACATCACATATATACATCCCAAAGTCATTCGTTATCCCTCTAATCTGTTAAGTTTTTGGTATAGCACAGCTTGCATGTACTCTGAGAAGTCTGACTCTCCTGGGACATTTCATAGAATCTATTTTTTGAAACAATTAATTTGCTTTCTGCTGAGGAGAATCTAAAGTATAGGTTGAGCTGTATGAATTGATAGCTAACTTAAAATGAGAGTTATACAGCAATTGGAAAACAGAGACATTCAGGTTAGCATTTTTTCAATAGTTATACTTTTATAAAAAACAACAACACAAAAACATGTTTTAAAACTGGAGACCTTAAATGTTATTTACAAATTAGAATAAAGCTTAACTTCAAAAAAAAAATTTTAAAGGAAAAGATCTAGTCATTACCTCATATAAATTTCATTAATGTAGAGGCTAGACTTGGAATAGTATGTATCTTTGTTTATATCTTTTCTAGAAATTCTTAACATCTTTCTCTAATTCTTGGCCATTGTGCACAATTTCTAAATCTTAACTGGGGTTTTATTGCTTATTTAGGATGACTGACAGTGATAACAAGGAATGATAATGATAATGTGGTTATATGTCCTAGATACTCATATTTTAAGATTATTAATTTATTCTTGAAATGCAAATGTTTTTATTCAGGATTACTATAAAGCTTTGGAAGATGCTGATGAGAAGGTACAGTTGGCGAACCAGATATATGATTTGGTAAGTAAAATTAATGTGCATGCTATGCCATAAATACTTGAATTGTGGTCATTTTAAATTTATTTGCTTAAATGTAAAAGGAAGAACAGAATAAAACATTTAATTTGAGAGTTCAAAATCTGTTTGGTTTCTTTGTGGAAAAGATTACTGTAGTGTCCACCATGTTAGTTACCAGGTCAAGATCCTTACATTTTAGTCAAATCTGTATTGCTTTCAAATTGTATCTGATGTTAGACTTTTTGTTTGTTTGTTTAGCTTTCTTTTAGTAATCTTTTTCTTTTTAAGGTAGTGTGTTTAGTTTCTGATAAATCATATTGAGATTGTTTCTGTGGTAAAATACACGTAAGATTACTGTGTTGGCTCTTGGTATTCAAATTAGAATGAAGAAGAGAATCATTTGAATCAGTGTTAATAGATCGTACTCAGCTATCCAGGGATGTCAGTAGGCACTACTCAACTGGCTTATATGGCAAAAATAGGAAATAGTAGACTAAATAAACTTTTCAAAAAGGCTCTTTTTTGCAGCAGCAGCACTTGTAAAAGATTGAAATTAATAATGAGACAGGTATATGCAATATTTCTCAAAGTGGTATAAATATGGTGCTCTTTTTAATGTAAACTGTCTTTTTTTAAATAGATATTTTAGTTAATACTCATTTCTGGTTTGCCTTAAAGTAAGTTGAAACTGAAAACAAATGTTCGCTTTTGGTGAACTTTAGTATATAGATTTTTTATCTTATTTGTGTAGTCACAATCCTATTACTGAACAAGTACATATAAATATAAATACCATCGGTGAGCAAGACACAAGAAAAAAGATGCATACCACCTGGTGTACATCGTAAATTCTTACACAAAACTAGTAAATATTTGTCATGTATAGAAAATGTTTGTTTTTATATAGTGAAAATATTTTGTGGCGTGTTTGTTCTTACAGTTATTCTGAAAACAATTTCATAAAAGATACAGCCTGAAGAAAGGCAGAGGGGGTGGTAGCTTCATTTATTGTGGAATGAAAAAAAAGTTCTTTATTATTTTGTCCTTGAATCTTCTTCTATAATAATCAAAGCATAATATGCTAATTAGACCAGACGGCCGAATGTCCTTCTGGACAAAGCCATGGCAGCAGTGAGGGCTGAAGGGGGGCCGCAATGGCCAGCAGCGGCAGCAGTGGCAGGTTGATGGGGGCAGCGCCTTCCCCTGATCGGCTTGGTTGCCTCCCTCAGAGGAAGGCCAGACTGCAGCTTAATCCATCAGTAGGACATCCCCTGAGGGCTCCTGGACTATGAGAGGGCTCAGGCTGGGCTGAAGGACCCCCCTTCATCCCCCTCTTCCACCTCGAGTGCACAAATTTTCATGTACCAGTCCTGTAGTTATATTTAAAAACATAGAAAAAGATAGTTTTCTTTGAATCCGAGACTAATTTTTTTAGTAGTATTTTTTCTAACCTTTAATGACTATATATATCAATCTTTGTATATGGATTACCTGCTTTTTATTATTTATTTACTTATTAATTGATCCTCATCTGAGAATATTTTTCCATTGCTTTGTTTACGGAGAGTAGGAGAGAAAGAGGGAAAGAAAGATAGAAACATCAATGTGAGAGAAACACATCAACTGGTTGCCTCCTGCATAAAGTCCAACCAAGGCCCAAGTGGGTGAGAAGCCTGCAACCAAGGTATGTGTCCATGACTGGAATCTAACTGGACTGTTTGGTCTGCAGGCCGATGCTCTATCCACTGGGCCAAACCGGCTAAGGCATAGACTACCTGCTTTTTAGATCATTTAGCTCCTTGGTTGTACTCTGTTTAGTTTCTATTTTGTGATTTTGCTTCCTTATGTGCTTTTTAAATTTGTGTGTTTGTATCCATCTGTTACTTATGAACCACAGTGTTCATTTACCCTGTGCTTGGTATTGTGGAGTTTTCCTAGGTGTAATGGAGGAATAAAGAGAAAATATTATAAATGGCTCCTATTCTCAAAGTAAATAGTTGGAAAAGACATACCCTCAAAGTACGGTAAAGATCCTGAATAGGAACACGTAACAAATAAAGACTAATGCAGTTGGGTAATAAGGGATATCTGGTAAAAGACTGAATAAGTCATGTAGAATTATTGTTGATTTCTTAGAGGGTATTAGATGAGTTTTGAGTAGAATTTATTCAGAGGCTCAGGTCTGGATTAGGTACTATATTGAGGGGAAGTATTTCACTCAGAAATAATGGATAAACAATGAAAATGAAATTTTCAGAGGAGGGTAGATTAATTAGACTAAAAGAGTGAGGTAATAGCCCTCGCTGTTTTTGCTCAATGGTTAGAGCATCAGACCACAGACCAAAAGAGTCCTGGGTTCAATTTCCGGTCAAGAGTACATTGCTCGGTTGCAGATTTGATCCCCGTTCCTGGAACTCATGTGGAAGGCAACCAATCTATGTGTCTCTCTCACAACAATGTTTCTCTCTCTCTCTCTCTCCCTCTCTCACCTCCCTCCACTCTCTAAAAAAAAAAAAATCAACGGAAAAAATACCTTCTGGTGAGGCTTTAAAAAAAAGAGTAAGATAATAAAAGATGATGTGTACAGTAGACAAACAACTGTGATTACCAAAAGAAAGGGGGAGGGGCAGAGGTAGGAGAGAATAAAGAGGACAAACAATGAGGAAAGGAGACTGATTTGGGGTTGTGAACATACAATACAATATTATAAAAATGTACCCCTGAAAAATGTATAATTTTATTAATCAATGCCACCCCAATGCATTCAATTTTTAAAAATGCTCTAATAAGTTTAATGAAATGTAATAAAAAGCAAGTTTTCATAACAGAGCCATACAGACATAAATTTAGCTACCTCACTGGTAGCAGGACTTTGGAAAAGTTATTTAATTCTGAAACCTCAGGTTCCTTATCTATAAAATAGAGTATTAATTTGAACCTTACAAGATTTACCACATGTTATGTAATGCTCTTAGCTTGGCAGGTAGTAGGCACTCATTCCATTTTTAAATTCTCACTCCCTCTCATTCCCTGACTGCCATTTTCTATTTCCTGAAGGCACTTCTCTTTCAGTTCTGCCACCCTGAACCTGTTTAATTCTCACTCCCCGGTATTTCTAGCAATGTCTTCTCTTTATTCTTTTCCTTCTCTCCCTTTTCTTCCTCCCTACCTTGCTCCTTTTTTAATTTTTTCCTACTTCTATTCATCCCTTCCTTTTTTAATACTCGGTTGCTATTTCAGGTGACCATCATCTTCATAATATAAAAATCCATTCTTCTTTGAGATTTAATATTAATTATCAATATCACCCTCTCACCTTTATGGCCTTTTCCCTCCTCCTTGAATATCACCCATAATGGTTGCTACCCTATTCAGGTGGCTCTCTTGTAGAGGGAAGGCTGTTCCCATCTTCTACTCGAACTCCTGAGACCAGGAATAGCAAATACCAGATGGTGAAAACTTGTTTTTTTGTTTTTTTTTTTTTTTTTTTTTTTAAATATATTTTATTGATTTTGTACAGAGAGGAAGGGAGAGAGATAGAGAGTTAGAAACATTGATGGGAGAGAGTCATCAATCAGCTGCCTCTTGCACACCCCCTACTGGGGATGTGCCCGCAACCAAGGTACATGCCCTTGACCGGAATCGAACCCGGGACCCTTCAGTCCCCAAGCCAACGTTCTATCCATTGAGCCAAACCGGTTTCGGCCGAAAACTTGTTTTATCAAATGCCAGTTTTACCTCCTTTGGTCCCACGGACCCCATCCAAATTGAGAAACATTTTTCACTGCTTTTCCATGTATTCTCTTAGCTTTGATAATTATGCATTAATTTTTTCTGGTGCTCAGACTTGGCTTCTGAGTCTGTTCATCTTATTTGAGTTTCCAAGCCCGGGAACTCTGAATTAAAACTTAACTCTTAGCCTCTCTTTTTCTTCTCTTACTCCCTCCCACTCTTACTGATAGGCACTTGGGCTGTTTCCAGATCATGGCTCTCTAATAAAAGAGTAATATCAAATTGATCATCACTCCAACACAAAAGATGGCCGCTCTCTGTGGTCAAAGATGGCTGCCCCCATGTGGACACAAGATGACTGCCACAAAATAGCTTGCAGTGGAGGGCAGTTGTTGGTGATCAGGCAAGAAGGGGAGGTCAGTTAAGGGTGACTGGGCTGGCAGAGGAGGGCAGTTGGGGGAAACCAGGCCAGCAGGGGAGGGCAGTTAGGGGTGACCAGGCTGGCAGGGGAGGGCAGTTAGGGGTGACTGGGCTGGCAGGGGAGGGCAGTTAGGGGTGACTGGGCTGGTAGGGGAAGGCAGTTGGGAGGAGGACCAGGCCTGCAGGGGAGGGCAGTTGGAGACGACCAGGCCTACAGGGGAGGGTAGTTAGAGGCAATTGGGCCGGCAGGAGAGCAGTTAGGTGTCGATCAGGCTGGCAGGGGAGTGGTTAGGGGGTGATCAGGATGGCAGGCAGAAGGGCTTAGGTTCAATCAGACAGGCAGGTGAATGGTTGGGAGCCAGCATTCCTGGGTTGTGAGAGGGAGAGGGATGTCCAACTGCCTGTTTAGGCTCAATCCCACCAGGATCGGACCTGAATGGGCAGTCGGGCATCCCTCGATAGTCCCAGATTGGAGAGGGTGCAGGCTGGGCTGAGGAACACACACACACACACACACACACACACACACACACACACACACACCCTGCACAAATTTCGTGCACCGGGTCTCTAATGGTAAATAATGCTGCTGTGAAGATTGGGGTGTATATATTCTTTCTGATTGGTGTTTCAGGATTTTTAGTTTATATTCCTACAAGTGGGATCACTGGGCCAAATGGCAGTTTGTTTTTAATTTTTTGAGGAAACTCAATACTGTTTTCCATAGTGACTACTCCAGTCTCCATTTCTATCAATGATGTAGTCGGTCTGCATTTCCATCAGTGGTGTAGTAGGGTTCCCTTTTCTCCACTTCCTCACCAGCACCTGTCATTTGCTCATTTATTGGTGAT